TCCCCCCGAAAGAACTCTTCGTCCAGTTTTCTCCCGGTCCGCTCACCCGCTAGACACAGGGAGGGCGGAGATGGTCTATAGATGGAATTAAGCATGATGATGTGAGATGAAGAACCAGGTCTATAGATGGAATTAAATTTTGAGCATGATCCTTTGGACCTGGTTCTTCATCTCACATCATCATGGGGATAAACCTGGTTCTTCATCTCACATCATCATGGGGATAAAGATGGGACCGGGGTTTATGTTATTGGGGCATGCTGATGATTTTTTCTTGCAGTTTTTTTCTCATGTGCATCTGTTTTCTATTTTCTGTCTCTGTTTTTCTCTTCTTTTTTGTTTCCGGAATGAAATATACAGGTCCAGGAGTAATGCCCCATTTGGCAGGGCACTTGGGCCGAGAAGATGAGCAGCGCGGTTGGGGATCTCCAGCCGATGTTATTTATCCCGTCTGCTGTGAGCTTGTACCTGATTTACGCAAAAAATCTGAGTACCGTAGGCGAGGCATTTGACCAATCGATCGACAAATATTCGGCGAAATGCTTCGTGGCAAAGGACTCTGTGAAATCATCTACTGGTAGCAAATTCATATGGGACGCTACCAGCGACTTTTCATGTTTTTTGTCGGGAGCTCGTTGGTTGAAAATAAAAATTGATTGTGAAATGGGAGACTTTTTTTTTTTCTTTCAATTCCGTAGCAGTCGCTCTGGTGTTGCTGTAATTAAGTCAGGAATTGTTTTTTTTTTTTTTTGGCAAGGAAAATAATTGGAAGGAATTGGTTTATTGGATTTTTGAGTGAGAGGTTCAGTGAATCACATTGATMGAGTTTTTTTTTTTTTTTTTTKTKTKTKTKTKKKTYCTCCCCTCATCGCTGCAGAGTGAAAACAAGACTCGATTCTTTTACCCCACCGCTACACTCAATTGGGACCTGAGTTCAAACTGGGGCCTGCCGCAGTTGGTACCTGAGTTCAAACGTCAGACGGCATTGAAGCAGATAAAAAAAAAAAAAATGGGGACATTGTGAAGTGCCTGGGGCTGGTCGGTTCAAATGATGATGATATGATATATCCAGAGGCCGTCGTCCTTGTAGACCCAAGTTGGGAATGTATTGAACCCCACAAGTACTTTGCCCAGCTATCGGCTGCGGAAAAAATTGGAGTAGAAACGTTTCTAGTTGGATGAATTTGGTCGGTTCTGTAGTGACCCATACATTTCCTAAAATCGTGGCGTGTTAACGGGCGCGGCTTCAGCAGGTACTTGTGGTTTAATGTATAACCTATCCCTGCGTGCTTTGTGAGTCTGGAGGAGGCTGCACGAGGCTGCGCTCCACCTGACCAAAAAGGCTGGTGGTGCCAGTCAAAACAAAATGGAAACAACACGCTCGCGTTCGGCTTCTGAGGTTGAACTCCCAAAATGGAAACGACACGCGAGCGCCCGGCTTCTGAGCGGTGCACAGTTGAACTCCGTCTTGGGGAAAAAGAGGCTCGAAGACGGTGGTGGTTTACAAAAAAGACAAAAAAAGATATCCTGGTTTAGTCTAGTCTTTCAGATTGTTTCGATCTTTCCTTTAAAAAAAAAAAAAACCTTCAATAATATCTTTCAATAACGGAAGGTCGGAGAGTGCAATGCTTTCAGTGGCCGTTTTGTTCTGTTTTTAGTCTTCTGGAATCGTGCGAGTACGTCTGAGCGGTTAGGTATCTGTCCCTGTGTCCTCTGTCGTGCGCTTTAATTGGATGGCTCGTAACGGTGAGAAGGCTGTTAGCCAATAGTACTGCAATTCGTACGCAGCTACAGCTGGCTGACTCTTCCAGATTTGGGAAAAGGTGCAGATGGGATCATTCATGTAGGAAGGTGTGCTATTTTTGTCGGCTTCTGTTTTCATTTTCCGTTTCTGTGCCAAGGAAGTTCGACTTGGAGAGCCATTCTCTCTCTCTCTCTCTCTCTCTCTCTCTCTCTCTCTCTCTCTCTCTCTCTCTCTCTCTCTC